TTAAAACATTCTGCAGGTTTTAATAGCTTTTCGATAGAGCTGTCAGCACAAACATATTTGAAGCAAGGTAATTTCTTTTTACATCAGAAGTGTAAACATAATTCAGTGCCATATAAAAATGTTTCTGAGAGCTCTAGTTTGGATTCCTAAAATTTGCATGTCAAAGATGCAACAATAAATATTTTGTGGTTTGGGTGTTTAATTGTAAACAGTCAAGAACCTTCACACCATCATGACTTTTTGTTTCTTACTTTCATGGATGATGTTTGGCCAAAGCCAAAGACAGTCCTAAATAGCTCTTTTTCCACACTCCCTCCTCTCCTCCTTTCACCTTTTGGATAAGTTAAGAAAAAGCAGCTGTTGTGAAGGGTGGCAAAACAAGAACTATCTCGGGGACAGGGCAGGGTTAAACAGTGTGGAAACATGTCATTTCTGCTTAGGATGATAGGATGAACAGCTGAAGGGAGAACTTAGGACCAGGTTTGCTGTTAGGAAGAAATGTTTATGTTTTTTTGGTTTTTTTTTTTTTTTCCCCAGTGGATAAAATAGAAGATTGGAATTTGTGGTTTTTTTTCTTGTCTTCCATCTTCTCTGGTTTCTTCTATCTTTTTACCTTTGAGACAAATATTACAGCAAATAAACTAATTTATAAATTATATCCAAGACATTGGTAGTGCAGTTTCTCTTCCTTTTTAAAAACAATCCTAAGGGGTAACCAGTGCAAATGAGTTTTATGAGACAATCTGAGGAAATCCACCGAATGGGAGATTCTCAGTACAGATCGGAAAATAAAAAAAAGACATAATGTCTGGGCTCAAGCCAGGCTTGGCCGTGACAGGTGGGCTGAATTCCTCAACCCTGTCAAGACTGAGGTCTTTGGTGGGTGTTGGCGCAGAGAAGGGTTTTGGATTGATGGCATGTGTCCTACCCACATTTGTGAACCAGCAGTGAGATGACAGCTGAGGTAAGGATTTCCAAGATTCCCAGTCTGCTCTCATAAATTCACTCAAATTCTTGCAGTATTTACCTTTTTCCTGTGAATAACTCCTTTCTTTCCACTGGATTTCATGGGGAACTGGGTATTCTGATAGCCTTTATGCCTTTGCAAACGTCCACCAATATTTATTTGGTGTATAATAAACATTATGCATCAAATGATTTATTTGATGTATAATGTTCCAAGGCCATTATGAAATTTGACTTGACTGTCTTTAGGGCTTCTGAAAACTGTGGATTATAGAAAAGTTAGTAACATTTTGCTGTTAGCTCATTTGCAGTTTTTTTGCCTGGGCAGAGGGCCGTGTGTTTTTGTGTTGCCAGTGGTTTCTTCTTGGAGTAACAAACTTGGTCTCAATTTTAGGCATGTTACAGTAAGAATCCAGATGTTTCTCAGAATGAGACTGAAAATACATTTGGTTGCCCACATTAAAAATACTTCTGATCATCTTATTTTGGCACTTTAAGCGTGTTGTTGCTTGAAACTTAGATTGAATTTAATATCTAAAATTTGGAAGCATTGCAGACTCCCTGTGAAACATTTTTTTTCTTTTTCTGCCATTCCTGTGTATGGAACACATTTTTTAACTGGGGAAATAAAAATCTAAGTCATAATTTGGGCGTGCTTATTAGGGATTTGTGATAATGCCATTAGTTCATTCCTTGAAGTATGTGAAATGGTTTTGGACTCTTCAAATCTGGAACTGAATGGGATTTTCCCAGATTTAATTGCAGTTAAACAAGGACAACGGTAGGGGAGATTTAGCTCTTGCTCTAAAAGAGGTGTCCCTGCACAGCAGTAAGGAGCAAACTGGCTGGGCAGCACGTGGGTCACAGAGACTGGGAATACAAATGGAAACCAGGATCTGGATGTTAGTTTAACAGATTACAGTTTCAGTTAAGGAAAGAGAGCAATGTTCTGTGGTAGGATGTTGAAGGCAAGAGCAGTGTGATAAGAAACCAATGGGATGGTTGATATGGAAGGTCTGAGGAAGGATATGGGCTGGAGGAGAGTAGGACTGCAAGAAGGAGCCTGGTGTCTGGGGACAGTTGGATACAAAAGCTAGAGAGGAGCTGGAAGATGGTACAAGAGGAACCAAGAAAGAGCTTTGTGACTGCAAAGAGAGTTCGGGTTTTGCCAGGGTGAGGCTTCTGCATTCCTAAATGGAGAGATTGGGATATGGATGAAGAAGAGAGGAGAATGGGAACTGGGGTATGTTACTATAAGATGAGCTGATGAGTTTTGCATTAAACCCTCAGCAGTTATTCCTTTGATCAAGGAGCCTCGAGATTTAATCTTCATGTCTTAAGCTTGCACTGGGTGTAGCTCTGTAGGAGGATCAAGCCCAGCATTCCAAAAGCAGCAGGAAAGGTGTGGATAGGGAGAACCCCATTGCTTCTGGAGCTGTACGCATCCCTTTGTAACCAGGTTTGCCATTCAGCTGCAAATTGCATCTGTTCCCAGATCCTTGCTCTGGGTAGAGAAGGTGATGATTTGTGTAATGGCTCGATTGAAGTGGATAAAGGGGAATCTTTCCATTTAGTTAACAATTGTGGAGGATACTCCCAGAGTCTCTGAGTGCTGCTTGCAGATGCAGAACGATGCTCCAGTGAGCCTGGCTGTGTGTGTGCCACTTCTGAGCTGAATCATCAGTTTAAAACCACATTCAATGCTTTACTCCAGCGCCCATGGTATTTCTACAAGGGAAGTTACAGTCACACAGGGTGGAGGAACCTCCCTGTCTGGCTATGGGAATAGTGAATACAAGGAAATGCTTGCGGTTCTGGACATGATGGCATCGTTTGGTATTTCTCTGCTATTTTTTGCACTGATGCATTTCATTTGGCAGTTGAGAATTTCATAGCAAGCACTAAGATGCAAACACTCTGTTCCAATGTTTAATGTTTCTGAAGGCTAATGGATTTTATTTTTTTTTCCCCCTCCGTGCTGAATGTTTCTTTCTCTTGTGGAAGTAAACCTGTATGTGAACTGCATACTGAGGGGGCTGCTGCCTGATGGAGGCAGCCACACAGATGCTTTTAGTGTTCCTGAGCATCATGAGTGGGCTTTTTGGGAGCCACTCACAAGCCCTCCTGCCCAAGACTGGAGGGTGCTTTCCTCTCCCCTCTCTCTAAACATTGTGCAACATGCATGTGATCCCCAAAGTGTTTCTTAAGATTCAGATGAGGAAAATCATTATTTATTCTGGTCAGCAGCCATGTAGCACTGGAGAACAGACAGTGCTCTGCTTTACATTCTGCTACAATTGCCATCTCCTTTTTTTCCCCATCCCAGCATTTTCAGCCAAGGGTGAGAAATACTTGATGCCCACAGTCTCTGTTCATGTTCTCTTTAACGAGACCTTTGGGATCTGTAAGGAGTATTTTGTGGGACTCAGTAAGTGTAAGTTCCTGTGTATTGTAATGAGAAGTGCATATTACTCAAATTTTTGTGGGCTTAATTGTATTGGCCTAAACTTTGCCCCTGTACCACTGTGACCCAGCTTCCTGGCAACTTCTGAATCGAGGCCCTTTCATCCCAGCTGTGTGATAGATCCCAAGCAGGAGCATGGAGTAAATGTGGTTTCTTATTCATGAATTAAGCCTTAAATGAATTGAGCAACACTGGTGTATTGTAAAAGGCAAGGAAAGATTGAAAAGGTCTTTTTAGAGGACCAGTGTAGAAGGTGTTTGGATTGAGACAGAATAACTTGGAGGAGTTACAGCTGGGCAGATCAGTTTATTATTTCTTCAGATTTTAAGGCCTTCTTTCACTTATTAATAAGTTCTAGTTTGCTATCTTTACCTATCTAACTTTGAAGAAAAACAAAAATGATCTGTGGTATAATTCTCCTTTCTTTAGTCTCTGTTGATGAAAGAAGTGCTTACATGCAACTCAAATAATGAAGGCTTCCAATGTGCACTATTTATATTCCCTCTTGTCTATGCTTATGGTTTTGTGAAAATGAAATGTGACTGAATATACTTTTAATTTCCTTTTCAATATTTCATTAATACACAACTACAATTTATTGAATTTTGCACAGAACAAAAATGCAGCCTTGTAGTGAAATTAGGCACTTTTGAATGTGGAATATTAAGACTTAACAATTTTTGTTTTCTGTGTCATGAAGTCTGAGACTAGACAGATAATCTGACTTTTAAAATATTTATGTGTAGTTTGAGAAGTGCTCAATTTGTCTTCAAGAAATAATGAACAACCACCACCATTCTCTCTGTCTTCATCTGGAATTTTGGTGTGTCTGTGGCTTGGGATAACTAGGTCTCTCTCAAGAGAAAGTCATTTATATGCTGACATGTAAGCTGGAGAAACCTGGGATGGTTAAGAGATAAGTGGAAATACAAGAGTAAATGAACATGTGCAGTTGCTCCTGTGCCTGTTGCTGGTACTTAGCTGTTCCAGAAGGCTGTGGAAGTGTTGCTGTTACTGTTCAGCCCTGGCAAATGGATATCTTGAAAAAAAATCCATAAATTCACTGCTTGTAGCTGGGAATTTCATGTGGTTGATCAATGGGTCATGTCTGTAGTACTTCCACAGACAGGGGGAATGAATGAATGAATGAACGAACGAACGTGGGGTAGGACTGGAAGATCTCAAGAGGTCCATTCTAATTAAAAAATTCTGTTTGTGCAAATGTCTGTGCAGGCAGAGCAGGGCCCCTGTACTTGTGCTGCTGCACCTGACTTCTCTCCTCTATGAGTGCACAGAACTGTGTGAGCAAATGTGAGATCAGTGGGCTCATGCAGGGAGATTTTGTCTTTAGGCTTTCACTGTTGAGGAGCTTTAATCAAAATATCTTCCCTCTTTTCATCTATTATAGCAAATAGTTTAATGATGTGAGAGTCCTTCCCTTGGTCCAGGGTCTCAGCTGAGTTACTGATGTAATACTCTAGGGAACCCTGAGTTTAAAATACACTATTGCTGTCATTAGAGCCTTATATTCCATGTATTTTCATGCTGTTCTCAATCCTTGCCATTCCAGCCATTAATGCCACACAAAGCTTTCCCTTGGGAAAGTGACCAGAAGCAGCCTGTAGCTGACATTGGCAACCTCTGGGGAGAAAAACAGAAGTGGGAGCTGACTGAAGCATGAACAACTTCTAGATGAAACACATGTCTTATGGAAAGTGGATTACGTTTTTTTTTTTCCCAAGCAAACCTTCCCCTCTATTTCTACTGCTGTAGCAAATCTTATTGCTAGTGATACAAAGAAAATAAAATTCATTTAATTCACACAAACCTGACTCAGAGCTTGCTTTTGCCAAGTGAAAACATAAACACCTGAAAATTTGACTATGTGATAACATAATAAACCAGTAAAACTCAGATTGACAGCAGTAACTCTCCTGAGTGGGATTTGAAGGGACTATTATTTAACCAGGGATTAATTCCACCTGCACCATATTGACTTTTGCCAAGCAAAGTGCCCTCACCTCTGCCTGTTTGTGCAGTGGTCACCCTGCTTGCTGGTGTTGGTACATACATCCAGGGAGGGAATGCTTCCTGTGCAGTCCATTTCAATAAACCATTGTGTATCAGAATAGATGCCTGCATTCCATGGCAATTTCGTTTTCAGCAGTTTGTCCTAAGAAAAACAGAAGATGAAATAGCGGAAATATCCAACTTCCATGTATCAGGAAATCATATGTAAAAGTGTTGTTATTGCTGGCTTAGCCCAACCTGCTGTTAGCCCTGGATCCTTGTTAGTGACCTGATGAGACCGGATTTCATCTCATCTACCTGCTGGGTGGAAATTCATGTCACAGCAGCAAAAGCATCTGCTTCCTCTAGTTCAAAGCTTTGGCACTGCTGTGTTTCATTCTTAAATTGGTCTCAGAAGTTGTTTGGCAAGGGTGTGCTTAGTCATCTGTATTTTTATTTTTGGTTTGTGTCACTCAGTAGCAGCTCTTGGTAACATTCTTTCATTAAAAATGCACGGGTTTGCTTTCTTTTCAAGTTTTGGCTTTCTGGTTCACGCCCTGAACATGTGGGAGGCAATAAGAAGAGAAGAAGCTTTTCATTCATAAAGCTGAAATGATTGATACAAGCACCAATAACTTCCCTGCCTTCTCAAAGAAAAACTTTATGAATGGGTGAGTCAGGTTGGTGCAGATGGCAATATCGAAAATAGTACCTAATCGAGAACAAATACTTGAAATTACTTTTACCTGTGAATAAGCACACCAGCTGTCTTCCAGCAAACTGGGTGCTGTCACAGCCAGGAAGATGTGCAGCAGAGTGATACCTGCTCGCTTTCTCCATCTTGCCAAGTTTCAGAGCTGTGTGCAAACAAAATACCTCACCTTCCTTCTGCCTGTGGTGATGATACAGTCTCTGACTCTTTAGTATTTGGGCTGTGTGTTCCAGCTGATGGGCAAGGCTCCCTCTAGTAGTGTTTGTCCCTCTGGAAGAAGCTGTTTCTGGTTTTCTAGGCTTGTGAGGGTTCTTTTGCTCCCAATGCCAACTCCCAGTCAACTTTATATGAAAAATAATGCATGACCGTTTTGAAGAGAGACATCAAAACTAACCAAGTCAGTAATGGAAAAAAAAATCTAGCCCAAACCTATCATGTGTTAGGCAACTGATGTATGCTTCTGTGGCCATAGGTAAAATTCAGAATTCAGTGGAAGTGTTTCTGAAAAGTGCTGTTTTGTAGCTAGGAACCACCTGACACTGACATGACTAGTTTGGCACCCTACACTGTAAAAATATTTGTAGTAGTTAAAAAGCACTAGTACCTTTTGTGAAAATATTATTTGCCTTCTCTTTTACCTTGTATCATCACCCTATTTCCCTGAGCCATCCTCCAAAGGAAAAAAAAATGTAATTAGAGTGATGGGGTGAACTCACTGGGTGTAGATAACTGACCTCCCTTTGATTCTGCTGTCATATTGTGCACATGGTCAATCATGAGAAGCTTCATCTTGCCTTGAGAGATAATAAGGGCCATTGAACTCCAAAAATGAACTCACATTAAAAGAATGTGTTTGTACTAATTCCTGTTAGCTGTGATGCCGGCACTGTAAAAAGTTTCTGTATATTTTGCACTGGTTTTATGTTTTAGTTGTGAACACAAGACTCTGCTCATTAGAGAAACAGGGATATCAAAACAGCACTTTGAAATAATTTTGGAGGAAATATCCATGGAATGTACTAGCCCTACATAAATAACACTGGTGGCATTATTCGTCCTCGCTTTATTTCTTAGCAAAAAATTATCTCTTGAACTCTATAACCAAGAAGGACTAAAAAGCATTAGGGTAGAAATGGCTGAACTGCAAAAGGAAAGATAATTCTTTAAAAAGAAGCTTCAGCACTGTGAGAATGGTAACACAGTTTGAGGTGACCCTGAGTGTAATATTTGTGAATTGATAACTTGCATGTGAATTTTTTGAAGTGTTTTTGAACAGCAGCTACAGCTGCTTGTGTTTGAGTCTTCTTAGCTGCCCTGTCAACCTGGCACCTTTCTGGGACAAGAGATTGATGAAGGATTTGTGGTGAGGAACAGCACACAGCTCTTCAGTAAAATAGTGCAGACTGAGGTTTCCTCACAGGTTTGGGCTGTTGCTGTGCTATTGGAAATCCTGATTCTGAACAGGATGTAAAATAGAACCCCTGAGCTGGTTTTGGTTCAACTGCAAGGCTGGGGAGAAATCCTGCTGCTTTCTTCTGGGATAGGAAGTAAATGATCCCTCTATGATTCTGATAATTTGGAGCTGCTGGGGAGGATCCAGCAGGTCAGATCTTTGGTCTGCACCTCATAGAAATAGGTACCTGATAGCTGGACCTAGTCACTAAATCACTTTTCTTAGGAGTCTTCAGTATGTAGGAAAAAATAAAAATAGCAGGGTTATGTAGGGTGGAGACTGTGGGAGGGTGGATTGTAGGAGAATAGAGGTAGTGCTGAAGGCAATCTCACCCCTGAGGAGTTGCAGCTGTACCAATTACCAAAGAGTAGGAACAGCCCTGCCCTTAACAGGCCACAGCTGTGTCCAGTAAGGATGGATGTTATAAAAGAGTGGGTTGGGTGGTCAAGAGGAGAGTTGGAGTTTGTTGGTGTGCTGTATGGAGCAGTGAGTGTCAGGTAATTGTGCAAGGGACAGGAAGGAGTCAGTGTCACAACGAGCTGCCCATGGCAATTCATAGAGAGAAGGTATGAAAGTTTTACAAGAAGATAATAAACTGGTGCCAAGCACTGACAGCAACAACTGGTGGCCTGTATGAGGATGAGTCCCAACAATTGGTGACCCTGTCATGATGCAGTGGTGATTTGGGTAGAGAACTGCAGAGTGAAAATGTGATTCAGGTGGAGAACTGCAGAGAGCAATGAGGCTGTGATCCCCTGGTGATTTGGGCAGAGAACTGTGGAGTGAGCAGTAATGGTAGAGCCCAGTCTAGCAAAGAGCCTGAATGTTTAGATGACTTATGAAGTCAGAGTTATGTTTCTGCACAGCTACAGGTGCTGATTATGGGCATGGATACTTTCTTCTGCCTTTTTTTTTTTATTCAAGGACCCCAGTTGAGCAGCTGGGATCCTGGAAAAGGGGACTTAATATTTAAGTGAAGGAAAATTCATTTTGGACAGTTTGTTATGAATTTTGTAGAAGAAGGGTGCTGTGTATGAGGAGCAGGCTCTATGCACTTTGCTTATTTGATAGAAATGTATTGAGACCAAATGAAGAAACTCCCTTTTTTGTTAAAATGTGAGAGAGATATTAGGAAAATGAGTACAAAACTTCATGAGGAGAAGCAGCAAACAGAGACAATGCTTCAGCAAATAGAAGAACTGGAACTGCAAGAGATGAAAGCAACAGAACTGAAAGAAGAACAAGGGAATTTATTAAAGTAACTGTAGGAACTGGAAATGGAGTAGTTCTATTATTCAGTACAATGTTTATTTGCTGGTGAAACACATGAATTACAGCTAATAATTTTGTTATTATCCCATAAGCACGAGTGTAAAGATTTTGATAAGTACTCTGAATTTGGAGAATGAATCAAGTTCAATTCACAGATGCGTTCAAGGGTTAAATGGAAATTACACAAAAGATGCTTGTACTGTGTTTGCTGTCTACTGCGAAGGGCCCTGCAGAGAACAGTAAACGCAACATTAGTTTATGAAAAGCCTTAGGTTGATGCTCTATACTGTGACAAGCAAAACTAAACCAAAACTTAGAAATATATGCTTTTACTGTGAAGTGTTGCCTGAACATTTGTGTAACTGTAAGTCCTGAGTGAAATATGTGAACATGTCATAATGTCAATTTACTTGAATGTGTCTTTCTAGAGATGCTGCAACTCTGCAATTAAAAGAAAAGGGGGAATTGTGGGAGGATGGGTTTTAGGAGAATAGAGATAGTGCTGAAGGCAATCTCACCCCTGAGGGGCTGCAGCTGTACCAATTACCAAAGAGTAGGAACAGCCCTGCCCTTAAGAGCCACAGCTGTGTCCAATAAGGATGGGTGTTATAAAAGAGTGGGTTAGCTGGTTGAGAGGGGAGTTGGAGTTTGGAGCAATGAGGGTTAGTAAGGGTTAGTATGTGCTGTGAGGGTCAAGTAAGGGTTAGGTGGTTGTGCAAGGGACAGGAAGGAGTTGGCAGGCCATGCAGAGAGAAAAGGAGTCAGTGTTGTGAGGAGCTGCCTGAGAGAATTCACAGAGAGAAGGTATGAAAGTTTTACAATAAGATAACGAACTAGTGCTAAGCACTCACACCAACAATTGGTGGCCCATCCAGGCATGAATCCCAACAGAGAGGATGAAAAGATGTAATTCCATAAGACACAAACACAAGCTGGAAATGGTGGTATCTTATGTTTCTGCACAGCTATAGGTGCTGATTATGGGCATGGATATTTTCTTCTGCCCTTTTTTTTTCTTTTCATCCAAGGCTTTGTTGTTTCTGTTATTAGAGTTGTGAGTTGGGTTTTTTTTTTTTTTTTTTTTTTTAATACTGGAGCACCTTATTGTGATGTGCAATGTCTAGGATTTCCTCAAAATTCTGCATGACTCCAGCATCCTGCTTTCTTTCTGAAGTCTGGCTAGCCCTGCTTTAGTTACTTCTTTGTAACTGGCTGCTAATGACAATTCTCATGGAGCAGCTAACAGCTTACAAGAAATTAATCACCTTTTTCTTAATATTCAGGCAAAATTTTCTGTTTTCATGAGTTGGAAGGAAGAGGGAAGTCAGTTATAGCCCTTATAATAATTTTTAGAGTTACAAGTGCTGAAATAGCCAG